CCGCAATTTATTTATTATGTGGCCCTTCTGCATCGTTTTTATGCCTACGTCGTAAGTGTGTATGACGACAAAAAGATTTTCAATTAAAAACGCTGAAATGCTTTTTTCTAAGCTCATACTTAGTCTAATAGCCCAAACACAAATAAAATTACTCACCGAGACCTTCTTGATATCTGGTAAAACAAACAAACAAACACACAACAGTAAAGGAACACCTGCGTTTTTGGATGCCAGGTAAAAAAAATCAAACAATAAATAAAAACAACAACAATAAAAACCAAATAAACTGTACCTAAATATACTGCACCCTTACTGTAATTTTGAAAGGCATTTTGTTTTGAAAGTTATATCATGTAGAAGAGAGAGTGTTTCTGAAAAACTTTAAAAACCTAGCTCAAAGTTCGTGGCAAATATATTCTAACAAACCGTATTTTCAATCAACTTTTCAGTGCTTGATATGTGATAAAACGCAGTTTCATGTTAATTATTTTCTTAAAAATAACTTCCTGAAAATCTCAACTAGCTCAGATTTGTGTGTAATTCAAACCATAAAAAATGATTTAAGCTCAATTATCCCCCTCGAATACAGTGACACCTCCCGGACCTTCCCAAGAGTCCGCTTAATAGAGGTTTGTAAAAATTGCGCAGTGTTTGTAAATGATTAACATTCAACAATTACTCTATACTGTAATAAAGTTCTGTATTGTTAAGGAAGCTAAAGGTGACGACTTTCAGGTGAACTTTTGACAGCCAAATGTATTGTTTATCTTTTTTAATCGACTACAGTACGTATATCAAGGACGTAATGCAATACTGCTATAGTTGTCAATTCAGTCCGGTGTCCGCTTAATAGAGGTTTTTAACAATAGAAATAAGCGAAATCAATTTATTTTAGTGTCCGCGTACGCTTAATGGAGGTGTCCGCTGAATAGGGGTTCCTTATAAAGAAAAATATAAGACGTTAATTTCGGGACCCGGCTTAGTGTCCGCTTAATAGAGGGTGTCCGCTTAATTGGGAGTCCGCTTAATAGAGGTTTTACTGCTATCGAGTTACATGCAAATTGTCTTGAATGTTTTATTTGTTTTCTTTCTCAGAAACTCGCTGCCCTAAACTTCCCATTGTTCGGTATGCCACTGTGACTCCTCCTTTATGTGTCACCCAGCCAATGAGATTTTACTCATCCTGCCGTTTTGTTTGTCCTGACGGCTATTTTACGGAAGTCACTGGACCCGTAGTTTCTAGAGTTTTAACGTGTCAGCTCAATGGTGCATGGGATGCTGGCGTTCCTCGATGTCATGGCAAGTGGCTTTTAATTTCACACAGAGAGGAGTTCACGCTCATAGTAGCATCATGGGTAATCAGGGCAAGATGGCGGGAAATTTAAAGCTTTGTATTGAAATTCTAAGCCAGCTATTTCTTCCTGAATTCATATATTTGATGCTTTCTCCTTGAAAAGAGTAACTTTCGAGTTGAAAAAACAATATACTAAATCTGCAGCGCAAAGACGTCAGTGATCAGTTTTCAGAAAACCTTGATTTTCCCATACATTCTCTGTAATTCGACAATATCAAAATTACAGAAAATGTATGGAAAAAAGTGAGGTTTTCTAAACACTGATCACAGACTTATTTGCACTCGAAATTTAGTGTATTGTTTCTTTCAACTCGTAAGTTACTCTTTTTTTAAGGAAAAGCATCAAATATATGAATTCAAGAAGAAGCAGCTGGCTTTGAATTCTAACACAAATCTTCTAATTTCCCGCCATCTTGCCCTGATTACCCATGATGCAACTATAAGCGTGAGCTCCTCTACTCATTTTGTCCAAGGTTTTAGTTAACATTAGATCGGTAATTTTTTTAAAAAAATGGTCTTCTAAAATACATAAAATATAATAAAAACCAGGCGCGATCAGGCGAATTCGTAATCGATCAACAGCAACTGTAGCGATTTTGGTTCCGCGCAAGGGATCGGAGGATCCCCTCACCGCGTCGTTTGTGCGAACGCTTAAGAGGGTCTCAATGGGGTTAACCGATAGGCGTAAAACCGCCAAAAATTTAGCCGACAGCCGTAAAAATTAAAAAAATTTAACCGTTAGGCGTAAATAGCGTAAAAAAGAGTTAACCGTAAAAGAAAGTGTTCCCTAGATTTGCTACTTTTAAGGAAGGTACTAAACTCACTTATGGTTGGGTTTTTTTATTTCCCGGCTAGTGTGACTCCGTACGCACGTTAGGCGAAGCACCTTTTAGGTGTTAACCAAGACCTAGGCTCCATTTCCGGCGCTTTCTTGGGGAACTAATTTTTTCCATAGCGAAAGTGAAACAACACGCAGAGATGACACTGTTTGTAAAACACGTTGCCGATAAACAACATTTCCCTGTTTTTCTCGGACGCTACGGTAGACATCGCCATGCTTAGTCCCGGTTCGGCGTCTACCCACGCAATCTCGGTCAAGGCTTTTCAGTGGCGAACTCGCTCGGACCACATGACCCGAAAGGCATCAGCCGCGCGGAATAATACGGCCTACGGACAAGGCAACGGCAAGACAGTGGTTCCGTACAGTCCTTCGCTATCATTAAAAACACTGGACACGGGAATTTTGTTATTGGCCGTTTTCACACTAGACCTAGAAATGGATCATCCGTCTGAGACTAGCCTGTGTACAGTCGCGCCCTCCCCACAGACACCCCTTCTCCGATTTTTTTCTGAGAGGAGGGGGCGGCTGTACACAGGCTATCTGGAACGGATAATCCTGTCTTCAAAAGTTAGGCGGATTGTTTATTCAAAATTAAAACTATTCCATTGCCAAATTAAGACGTATCACCTATCTGACGCGAATCATCAAACGGATAACCCGTCTCACACGAATAATCCTTCTCTAATGTGAAAACGGCCATTTCTGTTATAATGAATGTCGCGCCCCGGCCTTGAGTTGGGCGTCCGCGTGTCTGCTTTTGCTTTTTCACAAAGATTATTTTTAAATTGACTATTGACATTTCTATGTGTAAAATAATATCAAAAGTGCAATACATTATAAAAAGTATGATCTATCAAATGTTAAAACTTTTCAAAAGGATAGCTTATTTCATCCCGAGATGATCCGAAGACCTTTATTTTGATTTAAGGATACAAAAAAATACAGGTTAATTAATATTTAACTTTTTGAAACAAAAAAAGTTAATTTTTAACTTTTTCGTTAACCGTAACTGAAAAAAATTAACCGATAGCCGTAAAAGAGCCAAAATTTTAGCCGATAACCGTAAAAGCCACCACCCCATTGAGACCCTCGCTTAACGTTCCCATGATCCATTGCGCGATTAACACCTTTATCACTCGCAGTCGTTTTTCCTACCAAACATTTGAGACGCCTAGAAGAGAGGCGGGTTTAACGCTTTTATCAACCTAGGTTGTCGGATTCCATCTTCATAACCTTTCGTATCGGGAAATTTATATAATTATCTTATTGGACGGTTTAGTGTGTAGTGTCGTGTGATATTTTTACGAGTCACGCCGCATTTAAGCGAGCCCATAGGGTGAGTCAAAGTATCCCACTATACTACACCAAGAGAGAATGATCTAAGAGAGCGAATCCCCCATACATGACCCTCTTCCCATGAAAATTATTTTCTATGTATTCTAGTTCTTGGTTCTGTGTCATACTTCGTGGTTATTTTGAGGACGCCACCTTATTGGTCGGTTAGAGTGGCGTCATGTAATTTTAAACTTGGCGGGTAATTCATTTCACTGCCGATCACGCACAGCAAGCGATGTGACATGCAAACTTGGTATTACTTTCGTCGACGAGTCAAAAGATTTATACGTGGAATAATCTGGCCAGAGTAGCTGAAGAGCAAAGCGGTCCTGGCTTTCGGGAGTTCGCCGGAGAAAGCGGTTCCGACTCGGCGAAAACTGCTTATTGAGGTCTTCGCTACATCATTTATAAACAACCAACATCCTATTGCAAAAAAACGACAACTGTTTCTTCCAGCGACATCCACGCACACCCGCGAGCTGTGATACCGTCGTTTGGATCCAACCTTGGACACGTAACGAGAAAATGGGTTCAAAGTGGGTTCAAACATGAATGTTTGGCCCCCAAACATTGGAATTTTGTGAGGACGCTAGACAAATGTGGGCACACCGCTCTCTATAAAAGAATTGACCGAAACCGGAAACCGCCCATCAAAACTCTCTGGTATCCAGGTTAGCGACTGTTTAACAGCTTGAAGCATCTGACCTGATTTGTGTTTGCACAGCGACATATTCACCGCAAGTATTAGACGTTAAGAAGAAACTCTCAAGAATAATTCTTAAAAGCAAACGTACTGTTTCTGAACAAAAAAATATTCCTGGAAAAAGAGAAAAATATCTTGCACATTTGCATAAACAATTGAAACCAGCCACTTATACTTAAAGGTTTCGTGTTTCGCGCGTGATAACCTTTGCCTCTGGCTTTCACAGTGTGTCAGAATTCAATATTCGTTACTTTAAATGAGGCTACTAGCCGTTAGAAAATCTCAATCTTTAATCTCAAAATGAAATTTTGACTCCAATACTGCAATCCCTTTGTAAATGAAATTCATTCCTAAATTATGAGCAGAAAGCCCTGATCAAAAACATGTCAACAACAGGAGCCGATTAGTATCAGCTTCCTGGCGTTAATTACTATAATGGCTGTCAAACTTCAAATGTTTGGGAGCGAAACATGTCACGTTCACGTGAAAGTAGACCGCACGGGTCACGGAAACAACAGACAAAAATAACCTTCGCAGCACGCGCGCGAACTTTAAATAGATTTTAAAAAAATTATCATGGGGCACAGGGATTCGCTCTCTTATCTCATTCTCTCTTGACTACACACTAAACCGTCCAATAAGAGATTTATTATTCAGCTCGAAATGTTTTAAAGTAGAACTCAATCAATACGTAAAACCGGAGAATGCGTGACTGGTTAACGTGACTCCTTTGTAAGTCCAGTTTAGCGCGCTTTATGCAACGTTGTTGCTGATTGGTCTAAAGTGAAAACTTGTCAAACTAGTTTACTCAGCGAATCAAATTTTGTGGGATTTCTCGGGTTTTCTTCGGCGATTCGGAGTGCTATCTTTCAAACATTTGCTAGGAAAACAGAGACAGAATGACAAATAATTGTGAGGCTAATTGGCTAGTCTTCCAGTTCTTATGTAAAACCGACTGCAAGAAGGTAAACGGAGCAGAGCAAATTGCGATGGAAAGACGAAAAATCTCTCACGAATTGAAGAGAGCCATTCATCTTCGCCGGGATCAGTACTAGCGTTAAGTCTTTAGAGAACTTCTAGAGTCTTCCTTATTTGTATCTTAATAATAAAAGTTGTTTATGTGTCACGGATTGTCTCCGTCACCATGCATCTCATGCACACGTTCAGGTCTGTTTTGATCTTCTCCGTTGTATTTTGAACTTATAATGTTTGTATGTTCTGACATTTCATTGTGAAGGAAACTTTATTCTAAAAACACGGTTTTATTCAACCTTACACTTTCGGGAAACGATGCATTTTCTACCTTGTGTGACGTTTGTAGAAAACCAGCCGGTCAAACCGGTCTTCTAGAGTACAAATACCGTGAGATATTTGTACTCGATAATTAACAATTATTCCACGAGGGCGCGTTGGATATGAGATGATAGATAGCCAACGAGGCGCGTAGCTATAATCTGGCTATAATCATCTCATATCCAACAAGTGCGAGTGGAATAATTGTTTTATTAAAAACGCCCACAAAATCTCGTTGAATCTCCCCGACTAGAACAAACCGGAAAAGACAAGGGACTTCCGCTATTCACATGTCACACGTCTATCAAAACTATCAATGCGCGAACGGACTCGCCTGGACTGCATGAATGAAAAATCAAAACATTGTAGCGATGAACATTAGTTTTTTACAAACTCATTGGGATTCTAGGATTTTACACAGCAGAACAGCTTAAAAGAACCTGGCGGATAATGTGAAGCAAAAGAATTTTTAAGTGACAGCCGTCGAAATTACTGTGAATTTGGATTTTCGGTGCAGTTGTAAAAGTAAGAACAACGGACTGAAAAACTATTACCTCGGTCGCTTGTTATGAAGTTGTTTGAAGCCACAAGCTGGTTTTGCTGAACGAGAAAAGAAGCTATACTGCCGCCTCGATTGCTCTAGTGAATGGCTGCATAGCCTGTATTTGTAGCTGGTTACTTGTGATTTATATTCTTGATGTCGGATAAACAAGCCGCAGTTATCTATCGGCGAGTGACTCGATCGGCGAATGGCTTCGCAATCCGTGAAGAAACAACACTTGTCTTCTTTCGTCGCTGGTCTAGGTACTTTAGTTCCATGTGTTTTCATGTGTTTTTCGACAAACTTTCAAACAAACTCTTGCGGCTTTTTTGTTTGTTTTTATCTTTTTTCTTTCGATGAAATTGCATTTCTAGTATTCTAAGAAATGAATTAAAACGATTTGCTTCGGGCGCCGTTCTATCCTTCGCGAAAAAAAAAACTCAGCTAGCTTCCAATTTTAAACTGACGCGTACACCGACCATATATGGAGAGCATGGTATAATTAACAGTTAATGAATGAGGCTGAGTATCTTATGAAGAATTGTGGAGATCGAGGAGGGTGTTATCCGTAGAGGCCGTAGGCCAAGGCGGATAACACCCTCCGAGATCTCCATAATTCTTCATATGATGCGAAAGCCGAATTCAATAACTGTTTTATTATTCATTCAAAATAATTCCTAGTTTAAAAAATAGCTAAAACATGCTTACCTCTATCGATCCATCGATGTTCAGTTCATCTTCGATAGTGTACGTTTAGGTTTGTCCAGCTCCACAAATATTCTCTAAATAGCAGATGTCGCCCTTCGAGTTGTCTTGTTGCTGTTCTTGCCATGTTTTTAGCTATTTTTTCGCCTTGTTATTACTCTTGAAACGAGTGAAATGTCCGCCATTTTTTCAAATTCACAACCAAAACAACTCAACTTCGTCCCCAGGTCTTCTCGGTTAACGGTGCCTTAACCTACGAAAACGCTGCATTTTGGACGTCATTTCCTCGTTAAAGTCAAATTTCTTCCAAATTTGGTCATCAGTAACTAGTTATGGTGAATTAAACATGTGCTTTTAGCCAATCAGAATCGGGGAAATATTTTGAATGAATAATAATAGCTCATTTACCATAACGGCTAAGCCAATCAAAATGCTAGAACTGCATTATCCAATGATTCAGTTTTTAATAAAAAAACATTATTATATGGCTGAGTCTGTTTTCGCCATGTGATTGGTAAATTTGCGGTCCGTAACTTGCTACACGGACCAAAATTTTTAAAGAAAATGCTCTTTTCGGAGGGCTAAATCTCCTTACCTCGGAAAAGATGTTTAAATAAAGTTATAAGACGCCTGTCAACCTTGAGGACTTGGATGTTGACTTTGGCCTTCAACATTTTAAACTGTGTTTATTTGTGAACGAAGGCGATGAAGAAACTAACTCGTAATCTTTCGGAAGAGGATTCTAGTCAGTGTTTGAAAATTTTATCGTACCACACAGCTAAGAAGACGAAAATCGACTGGCAGAGATTAGAGACGTTTTGCCTAAGAGAAAATGAGTAATTCCTTCAACAAATATGATAACAAACATACCTGCACCCGATCATCTTGACAAGTTTCTTTGCCATTTGCAGCGTTTTTTCAAAGACCAACGAAAGAAAGATAGAAGCGAGTTCGAGCCAGACACAATGTCCAGTTTTCAAAAGACTCCAGCGTCACATTAACGAGTGAATACTTACAGTGCTCTTAGTTTCCAGCGAATAAACTTTGAAATATGTATGTAAACCCTAAGGACTGGGATGTTGACTTTGAACCTAGCTTTGTTTTAATGAGAACGAAGTTGTTGTAGAAACTGAATCGTAACCTTACCGAGGAAGAGAATTGTAGTCAGTGTTTGAAAATTTTAACGCAGATCCTAATTGAAGACGAGAATGTACTGGCAGAAAGAGAGGTTTTCCCAAAAACAATTAACGAGAGAATCCTTCAACAATGATAACAAACTTACCTTGAAAAGCTTCTTTGCCTTTTGCAGAGTTTTTTTTCACGAGGACAAGCGGAGGAAAGATGGAAACGACTTCTAGACAAAGACAGTGTCCGGTTTCCGAAATACTCCAGTGTTACATTCAAAAGCTAAAACTTACAGTGCTCTTAGTTTTGACCAAATAAACTTTTTTAACATGCCGAATTTGTTTTTACTTTCTCGGAAAGCCTTAGTCATGTGCTTTTGTTTTCGTGCGCCAATAAAAACTTTCTTTTTTGACACCTGTCAAATGAATGTCAAATCGTGCGTCCTGCACTTTTTTCCGGTCCCCCAAACAGGAAGAGGCCATATAATAAACATCTTATTAGCTTCGTTTTTTCGGTACGTACTGTAAATTATGGATCCTCGTTTTTTTTCATCGACTTATGGCCCGCGCGCTTCGCGGTTGGGCCATAAATCGATGGAAAAAAACTCGGTCCGTAATTTACAGTACGGACCGAAACCTCGGCTAATAAGAGGTATGTATTCTGTCATCGGTCAAGCGTGGATGTCTGAGCTAATTTTTTTAATATTTTGAATACCAATAAATTGAAAGGGGTGCCTTTTTCAGCCTTCAAATATATAAAAGGGTAGGGATTTCACTGGTTGAGGTATACGGAAGGGTAGTCATTTGATCTGTTACCTGACCAAGAGGGCTAACACTTTCTGCTTGTGAAAAAAACAGGGGCACCCAACGACCTTTGTTTCCTAAAATAAAATACATTAAAAACACTTTTTAGGCTAACCAGAGTACTTTTAGATTTCTAGAAATGCATTCTAAGAGACGCTACAAAATTTGTACCTGTACGATCATCCTAGAGGAACTTGAGTCTTTTCCAAATTACAAGGGCTAATTAAGTATTATTTTCCCGAAAAATAACGCGCTACGAAAGAAAGAATTTTTTTGGTTCCTCTCTCCATCACATTTTTTGAGCCCGAAAATTTTAGGTTTCCTTTTTTTCTGAAAAATAGCCTAACCTGGGCTGTAAAAAGGGAAAAAATAGCTCTTCAGAAAGTCGCGGAGAAATCAGTACATAACCTTCGAATTGTACATGAATGAAACGGTCATCTAGAAATTTTTTGCCGTCCTCTAGTAATATAAAATTCTAGGCAATATTTGCTTCTCAGAAAAGATAATTTACAGAAAACTGTCGTTGGGTGCCCCTGAAAAATCTCGAGTAAACGTTTTGGTTTTGTCGTAGTTGTACATACGTAATAGACCGTGAATGTACAGCAGTTAAAAGCGTTGCAATATTTTAAGCTAGGTATGTGAAAGGGGTACCATCTGTCAATAGAAGGCATACGAAAGGGCTACCTTTTCTATCAAAAATTGTATATAAAAAGGTGATAGGGTGGACCTAGGGGCGGAGCTTTCCCGTCATAAGACTTTGTTGAGTAGCTCACCCCGGGACGTTTTCTAACAATCTTAACTTTACTTTAAAATACATGGGATGTTGCAATTTAAATTTGTGCCCCGCAAAAGTAATACTTTGGTTTTTGTTTTTCGTTGGCGTACAGTAGTACGAATTAAAATTTTCTTTGCTTAACATTGTTCTGGCATTATACAGTCAAAACCCGCTTTACGTACACCTGCTTAATACTAACACCTCCTTATGATGGACAGTTTGACTACCCGCTTAACACGGACACTTTCTATGACCCCCTCAGTTTCCGTATTAACTGGCCTGGTTTGACTGTATTTCTAATCTATAGATCGTCAGCCCCCAACGTTGACGTGTCCTCAAGCTCTCTTAACAGCTGAAACAACTAAAGGGAAGGCGACTGGAAAGGTGTCGTGGAAAATCCACGTGACAGACAATTCTGTTATTGTGAATCCCAATGCAAAGATCAATGTGACCTCAAGTCATCAACCTTCGCAAGAATTTCCTATTGGTGTGACTGAAGTTTTTGTTACTGCTAGTGATTGCACCGGAAATGTGGCGTCTTGCAGGTTTCGCGTTGACATCAGAGGTTAATATTTACATTTAAAGAGACCTATATTTACTTCAGCGTGTAATATTCAGTATTCAATAGCTCACGTTCGATATATCAAAATTCTAACACGACTCCGAGGCTTTTGGGTCAAAATTGCAAATTTTTCACGATTCCATTGTCTCGTAATTCCCAAAGGAGAGACTTGGGCACACCCAACAAACCAAATATAAAAATATGATTAGAAAGCCTTTGAGTGCAGTCATGTTAGAATTTTGAAATATGGAACGTGGGAAAATCGTGTTATTCTTATGTAAGAAGCATCATTTTTATGTGAAAAACAGAAAGGTATGTAACAGAACAAGCTCAACTTCAGGGCCTGGTTTCGGAAAGGCCGATTAGCACAAATCAAGGCTCAAATTTTTGTTCCCTTTTTGGTATTTTACCTTTTTATGTATTCCCTAATTGTGAGTCGCATTTTGTGCCTTCATTATTGAATTTCCGAGTAAAGGCTTAACAGTATTTTGAAAGCATTTTGCTTTATTCTGAGTCAGTGCAGGGGCGGATCTAGGGGGAGGGTGCAGGGGGTGCGCACCCCCCACCCCCACTGAGATGACCTGCGGTTTTCTAATACAACTGGTATTCCAACGAGAGACCCTGGGAACGAGGTTGGATGAGAGACCCTGGGAACGAGGTTGCTGGTATTCTGCAAAAAAAAAAAAACTATGTGGTTTATTGGTGTTGAAGTAGAGCAAGAGACGAGTGCACCCCCTCCTTAAAAAAATCGTGGATCCGCCCCTGCAGTGTCACAATCGTAACTCGCTTCCATTCAACGGGCTAAGTACAAAACCGTAAATCGTCTATGACAAATGAGTACTATAATTGCCACTATCCTGGAAAAAGGTATATGTTTTGATTTATTATCAACATTTATCGGCCTTAGCAATTTTAGATCTTCTATATTCACGTTTGTCTTTTTAACTTTCGCATCACCTGGAAGATTTTGTAGCAGGCTATCGCCTATAACCCCTCTTCCAAACCGTGTAATTTATGTCTGTGGGAGAAATATTTTCTAATCTGTAAGCCCCATTGAGCACTCTGACATCAGTTCTGCATCAGCTGAAATCAAGTATTTTTATTTTTATGTACTTTCCTGAAGGTGAAGGGAACTTCATATCTACTTAATCGATAATTTGAAGAATGCTTTTAGGAAAAGGAAATAACCAATCCCCCATAGGATTCTTCAATCCCGTAATCCCGTCCCAGAACTTTGTGCGATCCCGTAATCCCGCGAGTTATTTTTGGCATTCCACTTTCCACGCATATACTTTCGATCCCGAATCTCGTTCCGATTATGCTTTAAAATCCAGAATCCCGAACCCCGAGTTTCAAATAGGGGAAATCCCGTGTCCCGAAAAACTTGTTAGGAACCTTCATTTCTGTTATAATTTGTTTTTCAATTGTATTTAATCGTAGATACTGAACCACCCACGTTTAGCCAATGCCCGGGGGACATTGTGCGTGAAGAGAAAACCATTCATGCAAGAGTGAACTGGGCGGAGCCAGTGTTCTCTGATAATTCGGGCCAGGTTGTCTCTGTTGTTTCAAACATACAAAATGGAACTAGCCTTTCTGTTCCTGGTGTCTATTATGTTGTATATACCGCATCGGATGGATCCAACAACAAGAACGAAAACTGCACTTTCAAAATAACATTGAACAGTAAGTTACTATCAAGTGAAACCATTTTTATCAATTACTAATTTTTGATTGAAAGCTTTTGACAGGTGCGGACATTTCTTGCTTGCTTAGTATTTTATACTAACGAGCTTGGGTCTTGCAAGCTGAAACAGAGGGATAATTTTGAAACTTAATAATTTTATATTGTTAACAAGACGTGTTTTGGCAGGCTTCGTCTATGTTTACCCTCTATCAGAAACGCCAATTTATTTACCCAAACAAAGTAAACACACAAACTTGCTAATTTCCTTCATTCTAAATTTTTGATCGCATGAAATGTCACGTGACCACAATTAAATGTTAAAGCATGAAGAATACATCAAGGTTTACTTTTGGTGGAAAAAAAACTCTGGTCTCAAAGTGTCAGATTTTAGTCTTGTAGCTTTCCACTGTATCGCACAGTCTTCATCAGCATAGGGGAGACAGCTAGGGCTCTACGGAAGAGATTGGGCAAACATTAAAAACAAACAACCTCCGCAGATCCGCAGAACCCTGAAATCAGCTGGGGGGGAGGGCAGGGGGTAAGATCCTTGACCAAAAGACGTTGGACATTAAAAGAAAAATCAAGGAAGTCATCCATATCAGACGGAAGCGCCCAGTCCTAAACAGAGATGGGGGCTAAGAAATTCCCGCGATTTTAACCTTTTGTTGTCACGTGACTAATTCACGTGACAACACTGAGCGTTTATCACTGAAAAGCTACACGAAGATACAAGACTAAAATCTGAGACTTTATTCTTTCAAATACCAGTCATCTGACCAGTACTGTTAGGAAATGATGAAATTGACGTATCCTTATTGTTGTAGACTGCATCATTTCCAAGGAATCTGAAAGGAGACAGAAAACGGTTTTCTACGATTTTCTTAATAAAAAACAGTTGTTTCAAAATCAGTGACGAGGTCAAAAGTTTATACGACTATTCGTATATCTACCTAAAATCCATTTCATTTTTGCCAACCATAATGTTAAACGTTCAGAGGGATACAAGTTCTGTTGTGCCTCTTGCCTTCACAGAAAAGCAGTGTACTCCTTTTACTCCTCCTCGTAACGGTGCCCTGGTGTGTGCAACGAAAAGTAACACTTGCGCAGTCATGTGTCGAACTGGTACCGATTTTGAATCTAACCCACCGTTTCTGTATTACTGTTCGAGTGGAGTGTGGAAGTTATTTTCGCTTTTCCCTTCTTTTAAAGCAGGTACTCCCGGGCCAAACTGTGCTGGTAAGTCTCTAAATGTTCGCGATACATTATTTTATTTGTATTTCCCTTGAATGAAGTGGCAATGTCACGAAAATATATTTTGTGGTGAGGTAAAAACTTGGTGTCTTCAATCATACACAAAATGCTCCTTTAGAGTTATGGACAGGATATGAAACAACGTTCATCACGAAGCACTAACCATTATAAATGTTTTGGGGATTTTTAGGTCAATTTTTGCAAGTTTCAATTTATGTCCATCCTTGTCACCCTTTGCAACAGAGGACAGGAAACAGTTCCAATGCCTGAATATAGTCTTAAACAACAAAACTAGGCCATTATTTTTGGAATTAAATTCATGTGAAGACAGTTCTTAGCTTTTTTAAAAAGATAGCGAATAGCCTTTAACGCTCATTTATTATTTACAAGGCTATTTATTAAGCCAATCGGAATGTCCCGTTTTGGTCGGCCTCATACAGCTATTTCGAGAAAGGTTGTCGGAAAAAATGTGCACGCAACAATCCCGAATGGTAATATGGGATATGATCAATACACTGTTCCTGACGACTGTAGCTGTCTAACCTGTTGTAGCCTGCGAGCAAGCTCTCCTATTTGGGCGAGCGAAGCAAGCCTCGCGAGAACGCGCGAGCGAGGGGCCGAAGAAAGAAGAGCTTGCAACGATCTTTCTTAAATTTTCATTTCCACCCCTGAAAGGGGACTCCTCAAAAGGGTGAAACCGGTCACCGCGTGCCTCAGATTAGAAAAGTTACAACCGCCTGTCAAGTTGAGACAGCCAAGGGAGCGTAGAATTATTTATTTATAAATCGCTTTCGCAACAGCATCAAAGCAATGTTTTTAATCACTGATATGCTTTATTTTCCACGGAGACATCGAACTTCAACGTGTCCGCTCGGATGAAAACTCAATGCTTTGATTTTCGTTTCGTGTACTTTTGAAAAGTCATTCGTACTGCAGTGCAGCAGACGACTCCCCGTAGCAATCACCAACAAAAACATTATACATTTGTCCGTTCCAGAAATGGAGAACAGCGTTTTCCCGGATTGGTTCTCTTAAGTTGTACTCCAGCTGCCACCAACTCTTTGTCTTGTCCTTCTTTACGGTCAAGCTACACAGCTACACTGTCAAGTACATGTTTCTGAATTTTTCTACCCAGTGGAATCCAATCGGGTGAAGAAACTGACGTTGGAAAGCAGCGCTTGAACCGGGCTCTTGAATCTCTCTCATCACTTTCACTCTTCTCGTTTTCAGAACTAAACAAGGCGCTTGACACAAACGAATACAACTGATGAAGAGTTTTCATTTTCCTTCCACAAGAACTACAAATTCGCTGCGACTTATCCTCGGCTCGCAATATTCTCTTTGCGAGAACTAAATAAAACAAGCTCCCTCGTCTGCTTTCAGGGCTGAAACAAGTTCTCGGTACCAATCTGATCCCCCTGAGAACCAAACTTGTCGAACAGACGAAGCGGGTGCCAGCTTGGCCTGTTATCAATCAACTTTGTTTTCCGTTTATTGAATCACTTAAATAAAGGATAAAGTTCTTTTTATGGGGATTTTTCCTTACTTTTGCCTTTTTCTAAAACCTTGTTGTAGTTGGTGTAAATTCTCAGATGAAGGTCTTTCCACATTTCTACTTTGATGGAGATGCGCCTAACGTTCAGGACACAATAAAGGATAACTTCTACCAGTTGTTAATGTCACCGTATGTTCCGCCTTTATTCTGCAAGTTTTCCCCCCATTTATGCTTGAAGAATGACATGTCTGTTTCTCTTGGAATCAAAGGTAAATGTTAGAGCCTAGCTTGGCATATAAAAAGAACCAACTCGATTTTTTGAGACAGCATTGGAAAGTTAAATAGAAGGCTGACAACTCTATTGAAACCGCCCTAAACAAAAGATTTCAGTTCTATTCAAGTAGTCTCGATGGTCTTAGGTTGGATTTCCCCTGTCGCGTAATTCTTACATTCGTAGGCACGTAAATTTTACTCGCGTAAATAAAATAGAAGAAATGTTTGGAAGGTCGCTCAACCGTGGCTGAACACAG